GCAGAGGCAAACACACAATTAATCACTGAACTGAACCCAAGGAACCCAGTGACAGAGAGAGAGGAGTGATGAGCAAATTGGCAAAGAATGGGCTGGCAAAACCAGCAGAGACAGCTGATCTGAACAGGGGAGAGCTCTTGGATCCCAGACTGACAGTGAGGAGGCCAGTATGGGACTGATCTGGACCCCCCAAATGTGAGTGTCAGCGAGAAGGCCTGGGCAACCTATGGGGCCCTGAGCTGTGGATCAGTGTCTATCCCTGATATACAAACAGTCTTCGTGTGCCTATAGCACAAAGAGGGATGCTCTCTCAGCCTGGACTCTTAGGGGAGTGCCTGGACCCTACCCAGAGTAAAATGACAGACTCTGATATCCCCTATGTGGAAGGATTTGGCAATAGGGTGGGAGGGTGGGGGGGAAGGGGAGTGCGGGAGGAGGGGAGGGAGAGGGAACTGGGATTGACATGTAAAACAAGCTATTTAAAATAAAAAAATTGAAAAAAAATTCCTAGGAGAGATTTCTCAACTACAGACTATTATTGGAGTAGAAGGACATGATTTGAAAATTTTAATAATGGCCCTAAAACGGAACAAGAACTTAAATAGTCCACAAATATTATCAACTGAAGCTGAAAAAGAATTAGAATGGGTAAAAAGACAATACTAGAAGCACATGTGGATTGTGTGGATCAGAACTAGACTGTATTCTGGTTATATTACCATCTAGAGAATACCCTCCAGGGATTTTGATGCAGAGGGAAAATATCATATTAGAATGGATATTTCTGCCACATAAACAAAATAAAAAACTAAGAACATATATAGAAAAGATCTCTGATTTGATTTTAAAAGGTAAATTTAGACTTTGTCAACAGACAGGAAGGGACCCAGCAGAAATTATAGTACCTTTAACTAATGAGGAAATTTCCTCCCTATGGAAAGATAATGAATACTGGCCAAGGGCTTGTAGTAACTTTTTGAGAACCGTTAGCAACAATTATCCCAAAAATGAGAAAATAAAATTCATAAAGAAAATAATTTGAATCCTTCTATGCATTGTAAGAAAAACCAATCTCTGGAGTCCTTACATTCAACACTGATGCAAACAAATCAAGTAAAGCTGGATATAAATCAGGAAATATAAGTAAAGTAGTTCAAAGCCCTTATAACGCTGTATAAAAAGGAGAATTTTATGCCATTCTCATGGTACTTATGGATTTTACAGAACCTCTCAATATAGTTACCGACCCTCAATATGCAAAGAGAGCCGTCTTACACATTGAAACTGCTGAATTTATTCCTGATGACACAGAATTAACTACATTATTTATACAATTACAAGAAACTATCAGGAATAGGACTCATTCTATATATGTATAACACACATACCGGTCTGCCAGGTCCTCTAGCACAAGGCAATGATGAGATTGATCATTTATTAATAGGAAGTATGCTAGAAGCCTCAAATTTCATTTAAAAATGCCATGCAAATAGCAAAGGTTTAAAAAGGGATTTTCCCATCACTTGGCAATAAGCCAAGGAAACAGTAAAGAAATATCCTACTTGTTCATTCTATAACTAAATTGTTACCAGCAGGCAGTAATCCCAAAGGTATATATAATAATGAAATTTGGCAAATGGATGTGTTTCACTTTTCAGAATTTGGAAATTTAAAATATGTGCACCATACAATAGACGCATTTTCAGGGTTTCATTGGGTCACTGCTCTTAGCTCTGAAAAGGTTGATTCTGTTATCACATGCCTATTAGAGATAATGGCCATTATGGGTATACCTGCACAAATAAAAACTGACAATGCTCCAGCATATGTCACCAGCAAATTGGAACAGTTTTTTAAATATTATAACATAAAGCATATAAGTGGTATACCACACAATCCTACAGAACAAGCAGTAGTTGAGAGATCTAATCGAACTTTAAAGGAAATGCTCTATAAACAGGCAGAGGGAACAAAGACCCCAAAACACAGATTATATAATGTTTTACTAACATTAAACCTCTCTTAATGCTAATGAGAAAGGAAAAACAGCTGCAGAAAGATACTGGGCAATAGAAAAAACTTCTGAACTAAATCAGCCGGTGTACTTCAAGGATGTATTGACCTCAGAATGCAAACTAGGATATGTGTTACGTTGGGGTAGGGGTTTCGTTTTTGTTTCTACAGGAGTAGAAAAGCTTTGGATGCCATCAAAGTTGATTAAGATTTGGTTCAAAAAGGAGAAACCTCTTGATGAGGAGAAATGATAGGTCATCCAACAAGGTATATCCCATGAGTTGTATGGAAACCTCACAAAGGTAGGGGGGTGTTTTGTTCTTGTCTTAACGGGAAAACCCATCTCCAAAAAGCAAAAAGACACTGAACACGTAGATGCCTAAAGAAGAGAGGATAGCTATCCAGAAAGAATCATCATACATAGAAGAATCTGATGTATGGTAAAATATTTATACTAAACTGTTTCCCTGCTTCCTAGAACTTCCGTAGTCCCTATTCATATAAAAATCAAACCTAGTTTTAGAGTTGAACTTGGCCCTCCTGCTCCAAATTCATGCACTTTGTTTAAATAAAATCCAGAGTTTCTGTCTCATATCAAAAATCCTTTGGTGTAATACAGAAGAAAACAAAATCTAAGACTACTATTGTGTTAACTCTGTATTCTATAAAATCCTAATTTTCCTCATTCTTAATTTCATCCTTATTGTTACCTTTCCCTGTATGTTGACCTATGGAAGTTAAACTTTCTGTGTTGATATTAATGTTTAAGTCCTCCACAGTGAACAAAAAAAATCTCCTAATAGCAATCTTTGAACTCTCTGGAAAGATGGGGCCCACTTCATCATTTCCACTTGATTCAACTTGATGTCTTTGAACTAGCAAACACCACTCTAAAACTGATTTGGGACTATAAGGCTCGAGACAACTCCAGACCAGCCAGCTGACACACTGCACCTTCTTATTACACTCTGGCCAGAACTTCAGATAAGAACTTCAGTCAAGCATCACCTGCCACTCAGAGACTAGCTACAAATGTTACGGCTAGTCCTCTCCAGACTTTTTGTTGCTCTAATTTTTTTTCCTACAGGACCCAATGGAGTTTGTTGTCCCATTTCAGCAGGAAGTAATCCTAAGAAAACAACACCCCTTGTCCCTACTGTTAGCGTTAAGGGATAGTATTCATCTGCATAGGGTTGGTTTTAGTTGCTTAGCGTTGGGTATGGAAGGTGATGCTCAGACTCGGGTATCTCTTTTAGATAAGTTCAGGGTATGGATGGGAAAGGTATGGTTAAGATGGGATATGAGTGAATTTACACATTTTCTACTTAACTAGCTTTAGCAACTGTTAGCTATAGATAACTTAAATTGTTAGATTATTGTATGTTGACTGTTTAGGGTCTTCTTTCTGTTTACAATGTTTTGCACACAAATATAAAACTATCTCAATGTATATACATTTTGTATATTGACACAACTTAGGATAGTTTATCATATTACACTTTACAGTTCTATCTCTAGTCAAGACATTTCAGTTCTATCTCTGTTATTGGGAATCATATCTATGTACATAGTTACATATTTTGAAGTCATTGTCCTGGTTAAATTATTTTGGGAAGCTTCAGCCATTGTACAACCATGTTTCTGAAAATTATAAACTTTTACCACCAGTGTTTCTTATCTATGAGATTAGTCATACATAGATATTTGATCTTCAAACACTTCATAGACCTGAAGAATATGGCATTTAAAAGGTTTAATATTAGTACTCTGCTGACATGAGACATGATTGCTCCTGATAGCACCCAGCTTTCCCCCAAAAAAATGTTGGACACTGATGACACTCCTTCTGGAGTCTGTTCTCTCCTCTGCTAATGGCCTCTTGGCAAAGAACTGTCCCCACCTCGATGGCTGACTTTGGACATGCTGTCCTCCTGTGCTTGCAGGAGGTAAACTTAGAAGACTGCTGAACCTTGCCAAGCCAGGGTAAGACAGCCCTTCTACCTCCCTGCTTCTGCGTTGGTCAGTCAGATACTCTAGGCCTTAGCCAAAGCTGGTTGCCCCTACGCTGCAGTGAGACTTTGGGTGACTGTCCAGGTGGCCTGATGTTTCTGTCTTTGCTGCACATTTTGGAAGTTGCTCGCCTGCACTTCCTGCCTACCCTAGTAGTAGTACCCTCCTTCTCAGGTATTTGATGAGGTTGAAGATTAGACTGTCACAGTTATTGTTCTCTCTCCCTAGATAGAAATATTAGGCATAAGACTTAAACTTTCCAGCTTAAGATAACTCTATAGTAATCTCTGTTGTGCCTCTACCCTAGGACTGGATAGGAAGTTCTTGTCATTTGCTCTAGTTGCTTCACTGGCAATAGGTCTTAGGTGTGTGTGTTCTTATTTTTCCTTCTCCTACAGCATACTTGATATTTGCTATCTTTGTATATAGTTTCATGTCAAGCCTAAATCTTTTTCTTTAAGACTAAAAGGGGAATTATGGTGAGATATCCACCCTGCCCATACCTGTAGTGAGGACGTGATGGAGGAGAGTACTAGATCTGGGGTCCCGGACCCCAGAGCTCTCACTGGCTGCTGGTCAGATCACAGCTGGGAGGATCCTTGGAGCTGAAACCTGTGACGGTCACCAGACTCTTATGTAAGTGCATTCTTCCTGAGTAAATTTCACTTAACCTGTACTGACTCTAGTGAATCTTTTGTTTGTTTTTTGTTTTTTCAAGACAGGGTTTCTCTGTATTGTTTTGGAGGCTGTCCTGGAACTAGCTCTGTAGACCAGGCTGGCCTCGAACTCACAGAAATCTGCCTGCCTCTGCCTCTCAAGTGCTGGGATTAAAGGCGTGTGCCACCAGCACCGGGATCTCTAGTGAATCTTGATTCCCATGCAGTGTGTGTGTGTGTCTGTCAGTCTGTGTGTGTGTGTGTGTGTGTGTGTGTGTGTGTGTGTGTGTGTGTGTGCCTGCCTCTGTGGTTTGACATGTAAGTACTGAGAAGGCCAGAAGAAGGTAACAGATTCTCCTGAAGCTGGAGTTACAGGTGACTGTGAGCCGCCTGACCTGGTACTAGGACCTGAACTAAGGTCTTCTGCAAGAGCAGCAAGCACTCTTAACCACTGAGCCAACTATCTAGACAGAATCTCATGAACTTTGAAGGAGGAAACATACTCAGAGGTAGTCCAAATTCAAGCAACAATACTTAACCCAGTGGTTGCGAATCAGTCTTAAGTAAATGAAAGTCAGAAGTCGTGGCTTAAATGAGAAAGAAAAAAACAATGGAAATGTCACTCTTTTACACTATGCCTTCACATCTGAGCCATCATTTTCAGCTGTGACAAATAATGAAATCAACGTGAGGGAATGGTTTAGTATCTGGGGCACAGATGGCCCTGAAGACACATAATGAATAAAATAAGTCATTGACCCCCCCATCCAGATTCTATCCAATTTCAAGTCTTAGTAATTCTTTCAACCTCACTGCCTTTAAAAGTTATTCCTAAATACAATATGCTAAAAACAGCTACTTTTAAATGATAAGGCAGAATGAAAACCAAAAAAATGTAATTTTATATATTCATGCATGCATGCATGTGGGGTGTGTGTGTGCGTGCCTGCCTCTGTTGTTTGAACAACGTGTGAGTTTGTCTAACTGCTAAGGCTGATAAACAGTGATCTTGTTATTCAAATCACATACCTCTGAGACCTTGAAATCCACATTCAAGTTTTATTGTAGTCCCTTTAACAATTCCATTATAGTTACTCTGTCTTTAGAGGTTTACAGAGCCTGGAACCTCTAGCACAAGCCAGCTGCCAGCACTGGGCACCATACCTTCAGGAGGCTGGAGTCCGTGTGCATGGTCCTTCCTTTCCCTCCTTATAGAGCCTCTGCTTCAGGCCAGATCGAAAACCAGCACGGTGGCAGAGTTCCAAACACAAAGCGCCCCAGGGCCAGCACAGGCTCTGCAACATCCCAGACTAGCCAGGCTCGGCAAAACATTTTAGTGTCTTGGTCACACCTTGCCCTACCTGTGCAGCGACTGCAGGAAGGTCAAAATGCTGTGCTTGTAGCTGAAATGCAACCATAAGGGGGTGGGGGTCTTCTTATCCCTTTTCAAAGCTCAAGGTGTAAATGAGGGTAGGGTGTGGGAGACATGTGAATTAGCTTTCCAATTCTGGGAAGGAGCGAACAGGTAGTCAGTCATTCATTAAACTATACAGGTCCACATAGGCACACCCTGTCTGCCTTCTGCCCTGCACTGCGTAGTTTCTGGCAACTTGACACAAACTAGATTCACCCAGGAAGACAGAATCTCAATTGAGGCACTGCCTCCATCAGATTGGCTGGTTAAATGTCTATGGGACATTTTCGTGACTGCTATTGATTGACAGCAAAGGGCCCAGCCCATGGTGGGTCATGCCAGCTCTAGGTGGGTGGCCCTAGGCTGTAGAAGAAAGGTGCCTGAACAGGCCTAGAGAAGCAAGTCTCTGTGGCATTCCTGCCTTGTTTTCCCTCAACGATGATCTGTAACCAGGCCTGGAGAAGCAAGTCTCTGTGGCATTCCTGCCTTGTTTTCCCTCAACGATGATCTGTAGCCAGTAAGTCAGAGAAATTCTTTCCTCCCCAAGATGCTTTCAATCAAAGTTTTTTGTATCCCAGCAACAGAAAGCAGACTAGGACGCACCGGTCCTCTGTCCCTCGGCCACCTTGGAAACTGTCTCCTTGACTATTGTTCTCGTTCTCTTTAGCTCCCCAACCTTGGCTTGTCTCCCCTCCTTACCCGTGAATCTCATGTTCTCTGGTGCCGTGGAGAGGGCAAGATGCCCAGGTGTGTCTGCCTTCTTGCCATGGGATCCCTGCAATGTGGCCCCACGTGAAATCTGCTTCTGGCTTCAGAGTGAACCAGTCTCTCTCGTCGTGGATGGGAACTGCGTCTGCTGTAAAGGAGGAGCCATGCCCTCTGAGGACTGGAAGGTTAGTTTGGGGTTTTCTTCTGCTTTTCTACAGCTCATCTGTGGTGTTTCACTGAAGCAGGACACAGGGGCGTATTTTGTGGTCTGATGAGTCCTAGTACACTTTATGTGAGAAAGTCATGGTCACTTCCGCAGCACTGATAAACCCTGGGAGAATGGACAGGCACCCAGGGCACGGCTACGTGCCCTGGCTTTTGTACCCCAAGAGTGGACAGCAAGCATGATCCCCTGGATCCCCTTAGTTTGCAGAGGAGGGCCCTTCAGCAGGAAAAGCTGCCCCTCCTGTCTCCCAGCTGCCACAAAACCCTAAATGAGACCCCTGTGGGGTTTTGTCTGTAAAACCTGCAGAGAAGAATAAAAGCCCATAAAACTCCCCGGGGTTTGAGCCAGGGCTCTCTGGCTCATTGAGTCTGTGTGTGGTTTTGGTGTTTGCATGAGTTCAACCACCAGAAGCTTTAGATTTCCAGCTCTGAAATAAGAAAAGGGGGAAGAAAGAGCCTCAAGGGGCTGAGTGAGACACTAAGTGTGTCTGTCAGCTGTCAGGTATCCAAAGGCTCCAATTAGGACACTCACAGAAATCCACAAAATCAAGCACCCTTAGAGCCGTGTGGGGCTGGTTTCTCCTATGGCACCTGGAGTGACAGGAACGACCTGTGACACAATCAGAACCCATCTGGGTTGACATGTGTCATTCACAGCTGAGGACAGACCATTGACCCAGTTCTAGAGAGCATATTGGATGTTTTCTCAGTGGGTAGTTTTACTCTTAATGCTAGAAAATGGGTTTAGCAGGCTTACTGGCAGTTGCCGGCTGCAGGCTGTTTTTGTGTTGGCTTATTCCCTTACTCTTTCTTGAAGACCTCCCCCCACCACACACACCAGCAAGCATGTTCTTTGTTGGATGAAGTGTGGAGGCAGGGAGCACATACCTGATGCTTTCTGCTGTTCCTATGAAATTGGAGTGTCCTGCAGAGACCTGGGGCAGTCTGCTGCTGTTCTGCCAAGACGCTCAGGTTAGCACACTGGCCTCAGTGGATTGCATGGTTGAGCTCATTCTGACAGCCACAGGTTGGGGCTGGAATGTCGCAAAAAGGCCAATGCAAATGGTCTCACTAGAAATAGTTATCTGGTATTCGTGACATAAAATGAGCCTTTGAATATTTATTATGAGAACACAGCATTTTTTCTGAGAACATACAAAGATCTGGTACCACAATTATCTTGTTCCAGCCTTAAACTATTAGCTGTCACTTCTTTCACTGCCCTGGTGGAAAAGGGAAGTCTTTTCTTTAACTCTCTTTTCCATTTAATGCAATTAGCACCTCATTCACGGATCTCTTTGTGGCCACCTAGTCTTGCTGATTATGCCGGTGACATGGTCACAAAGCAGCATGACTGACAGCTCTGGCTGGCGACAGGGTGGTTACAATGTGGGACAGCTTCAGTGGGATGAGTCCCACCCAGTACAGTCTCCCTGGGAAGAGACAGGAAGGTGTGAACAGGAAACCCGTGATGCAGATACTCCATCCTCACCTTTGGGGGAATCATTGCTTTTAACTTGAGATTCCATAACCTCAGTGAATTGGACCACCCTGAACCCCTGCCTGATGCCCCCAGTGTTACTAGAAGAGCAACCATAGGGCTGCCAATCTGCCTCCATGGGCTGTGTACCTGTCGGCCTCCTTAAGGCTCATCATGTGACCTGTATTTATCAGCTCCATATTCCCTAGAATATGTGTGCACTGGGTGCAGACAAACTCCATACAGGCAAGTCTTGTGCACACCAATACTATGTGCAGGCATGCCATGCACAGACACAGTCTGTGGAAATATGCAATCCTGGACATACACACTACATAATGTACAGTAGTAGATTCTGTATGTGGACTGAGACCTTCAGAGAAACCACAGTACTAGAGTCTGATTGAGACTCCAGGCCCTGACCCCACCCCTCAGAACTGCCCTGGCATCAGACTTTTGAAGGCCTCGATTGCCTCCGGTGCATTGGTTTGGTCACACCGATTTCCTTCACTTTTCAGGCCACATATATTCATTATCAGAGAGATAAGTGGAACAACATTGAGTGTGCAAACAGCAGACATTCCCTTGATCTGCCTTCCCACAGGCAACCTTACATCAGGGTAGAGTCTAGGCCCTGAAAGGAGGTTCCACCACATTTACTAACATCCAGCATTAACACTGTTCCTTGCAGGGAAGGATCACACAGCACACTGTTTTCTTTCATTCTGTCTTGACCATGGGCACGAAACTTCTGTGGGCTTGAGGAGACAGCCTGAGCTCATTGCAGAAGGAACCTGTTCCCTGGTATCCCAGTCAAGACTCAGAACAATGGCTTTATTTGTGGTTTAAAGGTTTAAATAAGCAGCATGTTTAAACCTTATGTTGCTTTAAGAGTGAAATGAGACAGCAGACATGAAACAAACTTTGTTGCTAAGTTTGTTACTTAGCAACAAAACCATTAAAGCATCCAAGCACAGTTGCAGTTTAGTTTCCCAACCAGGCAGGTACCAGGGACCCCTACTTGTCTCTCTTCCTGGGACATCGGGTGGCTGGCCCTGACTGAGTGCACTCAGACATTTCTTACCTCTTAAACTATATATTAGGAGGTGACTCTGAGAATAAATGTTCCAATCTCAGGAAAACTTTATCAGTCAATGCTATTCCCAGTGCCTTCCAAGACACATCATCACCAACAGGCAGCATTTGAACAATTAAACAAACACTTCCATACCACCCTAGTGACAAGTTCGCGTTAGTTCACCAAACACTGGCATGTTTGGGAGTCTCTCAGGTTCCCCCCAATCAACAGCTCAAAGGGTGGTATCCTTTCACTGGCACTGGGATTTTTGTTAGATAGTCAATGGCTCCTGCTCAATGAAATGTTTGCTGTATCTCCAGGCAGCAACATTCCCCATCTGGAAACCAAAACTTCTAGACTAGCAGAACTTAAGTTCATTTTTTTAAGGAAGTTAGATTTTTAGGAGACAAAATTTTCCTAGTAAGTTACTAGGGGTGATAGAGAATGGAACCATTTCCTCTCCCGCCCCTTGATTCCTGGACACATGGATCCTAGTTATGGGAGAAACCATGCCACATGTTAAATGCTGGTTAAAAGCATATACAACACACAGCCTCCTGAGGAATCCTCCCCCAATGCTTCAAAAGGCCATTCCACTGTTCTATCAAGACCAGTGGATTCTATGAGCATGGGCCAATGGTTGCGCTTCTCCACTCTGAAGTGAGTTCCATGGTCAGAAGCAATGCCGTGCGGAATACTATGACAATAGATGAGCTGTTCTATAAGACCATGGATGGTGGTTTTGGCAGAAGCATTGCATTCAGGAAAGGCAAATTCATAACCATAATAAGTATCTACTTCAGAAAGGACAAAATGTTGTCCTTCCCACAAAGGAAGTTGTAACACAAATAATAAAAACCCAGAGATAGATATTACAGTTCAAGATAATGATCAGATAAGCAAAACAGTCAAGCCTCTAGCTTTTACCTCTACTGCCCTGATCATCAGGGCACAATGAAGGTCTAGCCCATGGGAACCTGGAATGACGGGACAAGAGACACAAGAAATGGGAGCAAGACAACATGACTGATCAAGCTCCATTTATTGAGGATTTCCTACAAGCTTATATAGGGGGATGGGAGAGAGGAATGCAGGACAATGAGGGAGGGGTCATTGCCTAATAACTAAGCCACAGAATGTTCTTATTCGGGGTCACTTGAAGACAGGCAGGATATGTTCCAAGGATGCAAGTCTGCAGCTAGGGGAGTCTGGACTGCAGGCCAGGTGACAGAAGGGTGGGAGAGCCTAGACTGCAGGCCTTGAAAGTATGCTGTACAGGAAGATAAGCAGACACAGAGAAACAGAAACTTAACTAAGTGTTAGTCTCTAATAATACAGCAGGAATACTAAGATGGCTTGTTATTATGCTATCCTTACTTAGGGCCCTCCAGAGCTGGCAATATTTATGAGAGGTCCTATATACCAATGATCGCTCCCGGCACTCTATTCATACTGAAAGGATGATCTGGCTAGCTCCATGAATCCTCAGAGTGCAATGCTCTCCACCAGGCCTCTGACTGTAATCCCAGACAGCTGCCTCTACTCAGTGTGGCTGGAGACGAATTCTCTCATGAAACCCTTTACTTCTTCCTTGTATACCTCTCAGATCCTGGGATTGAAGGTGTGAGATCCCAAGAGCTGAGATCTCCTTTGTGTGAACTCTGTTCCTCTTTTGAATCAATTTCATGTAGCTCACTGTGGCCTTGAACTAACAGAGATCCGTCTGTCTCTGTCTCCCAAGTCCTGGGATTAAATCATCACTGCTTGGCTCTATGGCTGTAGCTACTTTTGCATTTTGATCTCCAGCGGCTTTATTAAATCATAAACAATATATCACCACAGGAAGTAGTCCAATGTAGTCAACCAGGTCACCAGGTCACTGGCTGGTCAACCCAGAAAATGGTGCCATATCAGGGGTTCAGTGTTGGTCTCTACTGCTGGCAGATCTGGAACTCATCAGCAACCGTAGCCTGTAGAAGGAAGCCTGTATGCTGCCATTAACCATGCGACTTACTAGAGGCGCATACAGATGAGGTAATAAAAGATCGGTTTACCACACCGCTAACCACACCCACTTTAGGCATGACTAAAGATGTATACGGACGGACGTAAAGACGTATATGTACGTAGGCGGTGAACTACGTCACTAGCCAGGCCCACTTTTGGGCATGGCTAGGGGGCGTTACGGGGGAAGGCATAAAAGATTGAACAGGGGAAGTCTAAGTCTTTTTTCCGGGTTTCGGCTTCCAGTTCGGCAGCGGAAAACTACTGGGCTCATCTGGGTTACTTGTTTGGTATCTTGTGAGTAATTTCTACAATAAATACTTAGTTTTACTCTCAGTAAGTGTGCCATTTATTGTTACAGCGTCATTTGGAGCATCAGTAGCCAGATCAGTGAGTGG